CAGGTGATGTACAAATTACGACGGTTACTGACAATAGCGAATATGACGTGATAGTCGAAGGAGTGTTGTGTGTGCCTAAACTAACCACAAACCTGCTGTCGGTCAGTCAATTGGTCAAAAATGGTAACCAAGTGAGGTTTACTACCAGTGGATGCAGTATTTACAACAAAAGTAAGCAGTTGGTTGGCGTCGCGTCATTGACAAATGGTGTCTATAGGTTGAAAACTCCTGAGAGTACATTGGCTGCAACTTTTATATCTGTAAATACATGGCATCGCAGATTAGGCCACGTAAACAGTGTATACTTGAACAAGATGCCTGATGCAGTGAGTGGCATGGAACTTCAAAAGAAAAGTGACATTTCTCAGTCGTCATGTATTGTTTGTTGCGAGGGTAAGCAGTCTCGCCTTCCTTTTAGACAAGCTGGTTCTAGAAGTGGTGAATTATTGGGTATAGTTCACAGTGATGTTTGTGGACCGATGGAAAATACATCAATTGGTGGGTCGAAATACTTCATTTTGTTCATCGATGATTACAGTCGCATGACTTACATATACTTCATGAAACAAAAGAACGAAGCATTTCAACACTTTCAAAACTATAAAGCCAAGGTAGAGAACCAGTTGAATAGAAAAATTAAAATACTTCGCAGTGACAACGGGACGGAATTTTGCAACAAAAGTTTTGATGATTACTTGAGAAAGAGTGGCATTTTGCACCAGAAGTCAAACCCCTACACGCCAGAACAGAATGGCCTGGCCGAGCGTTTTAATAGAACAATTATTGAGAAAGCAAAGTGTTTATTATTTGATGCTAAGATGGGCAAAGAATTTTGGGCCGAAGCGTCAAATACAGCTGTCTACTTGCATAACCGCATTGTCCTGTCAGCATTGAACAACAAAACACCCTATGAAGTTTGGACAGGATGTAAACCAGACATAAGTCATTTGCGGATTTTTGGCAGCCGTGTCATGGTGCATGTTGCACAAGAAAAGCGCCAAAAATGGGACAAGAAGTCAAAGGAGCAGATACTTGTGGGCTATCCAGAGGACATAAAAGGGTATAGAATTTATTGTCCCATCACTAAGAAAATCATTACAAGTAGAGATGTGATTGTAATGGAGGAAGTGTCTATGCCTGTGACAGAAGGCAAAGAATACAGTGAAGAAAGTCTAGATTCAGTGGGGGACACATCTGCAGGTGACTCGGAAGATACTATGACTGAAAGTTATAATGACAAGTCTGATATGACATATATACCGAGTGACTATGAGGATGCTGAGTCAACTGAATTGAGAGATTCGGAGCATGACAAGAGGGCTATTAGGTTACGGAAGAAACCTGATAGATATGGATTCTCCAACATGTGTACCAATTCTGGTGTAGAAACGTGGGATGATGCTGGTGATCTGACGCTACAGGAAGCGTTGTCAGGGTCACAGAAGGAGCAGTGGTTAAGTGCTATTAGGGAAGAACTGGACTGTTTTAATGAAAATGATGCATGGGAGTTGGTAGATGCTCCTAGTGCAGGGACAGTAGTGAAGTGCAAGTGGGTTCTTAAAAAGAAATATTGTGATAGTGAAGTGAGATATCGTGCAAGGTTGGTCGCCAAGGGATTTACACAAAAACCTGGTGTGGACTACAACGAGACATTCTCTCCTGTTATAAGACATTCTACCTTGCGTTATCTGTTTGCATTAAGTGTACAATTAGATATGAATGTAACTCATCTTGATGTCACTACAGCATTCCTGAATGGTCATTTGAAGGAAACTATCTTTATGCAGTTACCTGAGTGTTTCCCTGTTACTGATTGTAATAAAGTTCTTAGATTAAAAAAGGCAATTTATGGCCTAAAACAGGCTTCTTTAGCCTGGTATGATAGAGTAAATGAAACTTTATGTAATTTAGGATATGTCAAAAGTAAAATAGAGCCTTGTGTATTTATAAAAGATTGTAATACTGGTAAAAAAGTGATAGTAGGTCTTTATGTAGACGATTTCCTAATATTTTCAAATGTAAAGTCTGAAACTGATAGTTTAATTGAAGCTTTAAGTGTAAAATTTAAAATAAAGAATCTTGGTAATGTTAAACAGTATCTAGGCATGAAAGTTAATGTTGATAGGAAGAATTGTGTTGTAACACTTGATCAAAAGCATTATATAGAGCAGTTGATGCAAAAGTTTAATATGACTGATTGTCACTCAGCAGAAACACCTATTGAATGTAAATTAAATGTTGAAAAATCTAGTATGTGTAAAGATAATATTCCATATCAAAGGTTAATAGGATGTTTAATGTATCTAGCGGTGATGACTAGACCAGACATAGCATACTCTGTCAGTTATTTATCACAATTTAATAATTCCTATTCAAGTGTTCATTTTTCTTATGCTAAAAGGGTTCTAAAATATCTGTATAAAACAAGGGATTACTGTTTGAGATACTCCCAAGGAACAGCAGATTTGGTCGGCTATGTAGATGCCGATTGGGCGAGTGATGCGTTAGATAGACGGTCATATACTGGTTTTTGTTTTTTGAAAAGTGGGTCTGCTATTGCTTGGGAAAGCAGAAAACAACGCACAGTAGCCTTGAGTAGCTGTGAAGCAGAATATATGGCTTTATCGGAAGCAAGTCGTGAGGCTATATTTTTGCGTAGACTAGAAACAGAATTAGTTGGGTTATGTAACACAATAACATTATTTAGTGATAGTCAAAGTGCGTTGAAGCTTGCCAATAATCATCAGTCACACAAGAGGTCCAAACACATTGATGTTCGATACAATTTCATAAAGAAAGTTATTGATGACAATATTATTGAAACAAAATATATTGGTACCTCTCAGATGCCTGCTGATTTGTTGACTAAAGGTTTAAATAGGGCAAAACATTACAAATTCATAGAGATTTTAGGACTTGTTAAACCCTAGTTAATTTTTATGTATACCTTAAGGTCTAATGGTTTGTCAGTTACCTAATAGTTTATTTGTATTTATCTGATTTCGATATAGTGGGGGTGTTATTTATATATATCGAAATAGTTTTTTGTAATAGAATTTAATCCCATTTTAGTCTATGCTATCCCTCTATGTATTGTCTATGTGTGTCTTTCTCTTTGCTATAAACGGAATATAGAAACGTGCTCGCTATCAAAAAGTTGTTTTAATTAATCATTAATAATAATAACATCACGCCTTTTATCCCCGAAGGGGTAGGCAGAGGTGGACATTACGCCACATTATGCCACTGTACAATGTAACACCCACTTTTCACTATTTATGTTATGAGTCCCATGTAATAGGGGGTGAGCCTATTGCCAAATACTGGGCACGACTTTAGACTCCGTGCTACTACTGAGATTTTTTTAACACCCTGTATTACTTTGCCCTGTATTGAACCCGAGACCCTTTGCCCGGCAGTCGCACTTGCGACAACTCGGCCAACGAGGCAGCCTCTGAATGGGTGTATTAAAATATCGGCTAGTCAGGAGAGATGGTGGAACATAATGAGACGGGCTACAGCCACTGATTCGGAGTCATGTTAACCACGACCACTCCATCAAGGGTAGAGTTACAGTGGTATTTAGTTTGATAGTAGCATTGCGATAGTAATTTGTTTTTTGTTTTGTTTCTTTTGTCAATGCTGCTTAGCTTTAAATATGTTTTTATTTGTAAATATAAGTATTTAATATTTAAGAATACATTAAGTATTCTACTTATAAAAGAGTCTATTTTATGTATAATAGGACAATAAGGAAAGAAGCTTAACAGTCAACCGATACATTATTTCGTATGAAAACTACATCCTATTAATCTCTCATCTCATCTTTCAATTAGACTCATAGAAACCAAGAACCCCCTTCTTTTTTGAAGTCGGTTAAAAGTAATTTTACTTTAAGCTTCATTGTCTAAATATCTCAGTGTTTAAGTAAATAAAAATGCTACCAAGTATTAAGCAATTCTAGGACAATGCCCTCCGGACTTCCGCACTTCTCAGTTACCTACATACCTACTGCATACTGCATTATATAAGCAAAAGCAACAAGTTATTTTAATTATATCACACATAAATATCACCCGTTCATGGCAATACTTTGACTTTGATTATACCTTATTTCCGTAGTACTAAGGACGTTATTAGCAAATTAATTTTTTTCTTATTGTCAAGCGAAGTAAATGTGTATTGTTATGTGATATAATTATTAATACGTATGTGTGTGTGTGTGTGTTGTCGGAAGTTATACAACAAACGGACATGTTCACAGTTGATTGACAAGTTGATTGTATCGTTTACATAAGCTTTGGTTACGGGCTTGGTATCTGTTAATATCTTTGTTGTACTATGTAGTCACTGGGAATCCGGAAATGACTTTCCAAAAATCAGAGCGTGTGAAGGGAACCTAAGGAAACATTTGTTTAAATACGAATGTCTTTCGGTTGACGATGTTGATTCATTTTAGTTATGGACCACTTGTATCATTTGTTACTTTAAAGCGTTTTTTTGTGGCAAACTTAAGCCAAGGGTACAGTAGGGGACAAATGACCTGCGACCCGTGTCGCCAGCGACGTTGGGTGCAGTAACGCAACGTTGCCGGACTTTGTGTGGATATGTTTGGCAACATTAACTATATAAAGTATTACGGAGTCTGGAAATGTGCCGGTATATGGCAATAGGCTCACCCCCTATTACATGGGACTCATAACATAAACAGTGAAAAGTCGGTGTTACATTGTACAGTGACATTAAGTGCCGTAATGTGCACCCCTGGCTACCCCTTCGGAGATGTCGCGGAAAAACTAACGGGATGCCGGGTTTCGGCCCGATGTGCAGGAGAAGAAACAGGGTGGTTTTTAGTCAGTAAGAGTCTGACACTCCCTCCCGCCTCACTCAGACCACTTAAAAAAAACCCATTAGGAGATAAAAAGGCGTGATGTTATGTTATGTTAAAATAAAATATACAAGGTATTATATATATAGTTAACGTTCTGACTTTCCACCAGGTCTCACTGCAGCTGCGACGCAAAGTTCCGCGACTGTCTCCGGCGCACCAACTCCTTGGTATCAGCACAGATCGGAGTCACCTACTTCAACATCCTCGGGCCGCAGTGCTTCAGGAATGCACATCCTATTGTCAAGTGTGTGAGGAAGACTAGGTAAGAATACCACCACAATGGACAGTCTTTTAGGTTATAGGTCTCAGTCGTAATTTAATTGATTACTTTTTTAATTATTGTCCTATACATGAATTTGAATTTGATATTATGTTATTGGGTTTCGGCACCTATACTTTTTTTCTATTTATACATGCAGGATCATTTCTTTCGTCTTCAGAATTGGTATTTGCGCGTATCTCTTGTAACAGGGACGTGCTGTTCAGAGTTTCAGAGGTGTGACAACCGGTTTGACAATTTGACAGATACATTTTTGACACTACCTTTAACAATTACTTTAACAGTACCCAGAGGAAAGAGAGCGGTTACAGTTATAGTTAAAGTTATGACGTCATTTAACAATTTGTCAATAGGTGCAACGTTTTTTTGTCCTAACCGACACTATAACAGAAATTTTGACGTTTGTTATTTTAAAAAAGTTGGTACAACGCAGCCTTAGAGATTTTTATTTATTTTTATGTATTGTAGTAGAAAATATCTAATTAAGTTGCTATCAGACTTCAATAATATAATCTTCTCACTATTCAGGATAACAGGTCAGAGATGTGAAGAGTACGAGCTGGACTACACGAAGCCAAGAATGTGGCAGTGGTTCGACAACGAGACCTTCTGATCCCGGTCTCACGAAGATACGAAGTTACCACCTTATTTAAGTAGACTGGAGAAGACCTAAGTTCTTAATAGACTGGAGAAGTCTTAAGGTCTCAGTAGACCGGCGATGATTTAACTTTTCAGTAGACCGGAAAAGATCTTCTCATTAGACTAGAGAAGACCGCCTTCTGCATACTATGGACACGATAATAATGTCAAAGATCTGATATCTTTTGAGAAAGATATTGCGTCATCTTTTGTGGAAAGATGACGTCCAGTTTTTGGATATAGTTGGACACTTAGTTATTATGTGTTCCGGCTTACTCACGTAATTATTTGACGAGGAACTCAGTAGCAAAGCGACAGTCGCCGCGGTCGCGGAATGCTGCTCATGAATATGAGCCTCTAGCATGACTTGAAACTAGTCGAGTTCCTCGTCAAACAGTTACGTGGGTAAGCCGAAAAACAAAATAATTAATTTAGTACGTCTCACGAAAGTTATAACATAAATATAGTTGGACGTCTTCAGCCAGATTTGGTCTTGCCGAATGTGAATCCTTACTAATATTATAAATCGGAAAGTGAGTTTGTTTGTTTGTTTCGCTTTCACGCCGTAACTACTAAACCGATTGCTTTGAAATTTTGCAGAAGTAAAGTCCGGATTAAATAATAGGGTACTTTTATCCCGGAAAAAATTGATATTCCGGAGGGAAAACAAAAGAATTGGTATAGATGGCGCTATGTGTATTGGTATATGTCACATGACTACTTTTTATCCTTTTGTGACGCGAGCGAAGCTGCGGGTAAAAGCTAGTTTAAGAATAATTCCAGAACAAAAAATATTAATTATTTCGTTGCTTAAAAGGTTACTTCATACAATAATAGTACAAATATTACTAACAGATCTAACACGTATGGAAATACCTTTTTACTCATTAGCAGTCAGGATGAAATTAACCAAAGTATCTGTATTTCTTTGCAATTTCCCTGTTAAGTACCGTTTTGAATTGTTTCCATAAAGATATTTAATTAGAGGCTTTCTTATTAAAAAGGCTATAATATTTTTATTTTCAAAGTGATCTAAATGACGTCGTGTGCATATAATTTATGGCGTGCTCCTGTTATCATGATGCACACGTAGGTAATATTTGCAGCTAATGTAAATAGTACGATTAAGTTTTAATATTTATTTCTTAAGAGACAATCTCCATTCGTAACGAGAAAGATTTCATACTCAGTATGATATATTGTAAGATTTTTGTTAATTAAATAGACAATAATAATAATAATGAAAGTACAACAATTTGTTTTGTTTTATTTACATGTTTAACACTATGCCTTTTATTCTCCGGAATTTACCTGAACAGGTTCACTTTTTTGATGTCACTCTCATTTTTTTCAGTGAACAAACGAAGGGGCAAATCTTGTACCATAAACTGAGTACTATTCTAGACTTCAAACCATTCTTGAGTTATTATGGGAACCGAAATCTCAAAAGGCTAAATTTAAAATACTGATCAGGAATAGTACCTACCTAAAATACTCGAATCTGTGGATACCAGTGTCAGAATAAAACAACATTATATTTTATATAATAAAACATCAGAATATATTTCGAAATTACATTAAACAACAGATAAACAATTACGGCACAATAATTCTAAAAAACAATGTAAAATAAAGACGGGAACGCAACTGCCCATATTCGGGCATCTTACTAAACTGTTCACTTTGATATTTTGATATTTTTCATTACATTTGTGCGTAAAAACTTCTTCAGAAAATTGTGTATATCGGATATGTAATAATTAATAATTATTATACTTCAAAATGATATTCCGATGAGACAGTCAATTGGCGATTTTATGATTATTATAATATGGTAGGTATTAATTTTTATTAAAAGATTCTCTTTCTATAAAAGAAAATGCGCGGTATATGGATTTAAGCGTACTTTTTGGTTATTTGCAAATAGAAATATAACTTTCACTTTTTTTATTACAAAAGCGTTGTTAATATGATTTTTATACCAATATCAATATTATATATTATGTATATTGCTCTCTATATATATTGCTGTACTTCGTATATAAAAGTCACTAACTATTTGCAAATAAACAAAAGTATATTACGATGTGTACATTTTATCCAAAAAAGTTTATATCTTACAAAAAGACAGTTTTCTACCAATGAAATATTCAAATTGATGCATGGATAAATGTTGCCATCTAAATGTTTGTTTACAATAATACACTGACAAGTCATTGCCTGATATTGTAAAAAATATACAATTATCGACGTTAGTAAATTTACAAAAGAAAAAATATTTGGTGTTCCATAAAAAGTCTTCAAAATTCCCGCCTCGTATATTTTGTTGTTGTTATATAAGTATTTATATTATATATATAATTTACAATATCAGGTCAAGAGTTCTACGTTATATAACAACACATATAAAATCCAGAATAATATTAAAACACACATAAAATGACGTATTCACATGGAGACATCGACACTATAAATATTTTACTATTTAAATATAAAATTCTAAAGTAAGCTACGCCTACTAAAAATCTATGAAATATCTATGGGCCTATCAAATATATAGATATATTGCTTAACGTGGTCCGATGGGATTATTATAATTAGGCGTGAACCTATATAAGGTATATAAGATCTACTACGACATTTCGAACATGAGGATTTTACGATTTAGAGGCCCATTTTATAATTTCTTTCGCATCAAATATCAAGATGCTTCATCAAAAAGGTTTTATGAGACCAATCGTTTCGAAATATATCGATTTAGTAGATTTTTTGATCTTGTCTCCAATTTCCTGATCATAATTATATCGTTCCCTAAATAGAAATCCCATGTTCTATATTCGTTTGACCTAAAACTTGGGCTAAGAATGTCGCTAAAGTGTCATTCTGGCACAAGTGTGACTATATCGCAAAGCAATCGGGGGAAAGGGAAAGGGAACAGCAGTAGAATTAGCTCCACACACTCCGTCATTAAATTACCCAATTACACATTACTTACATCGGTTTTAATTCGACTTTCCCGTGAAATTGAAAAATGGCCGCTGTCAGTTCGAATTTTGCGCGCTGTCTTCACTCTGAGACAACTGTCATCTGTCATTTAGGCAGCGCCATCTAGAAATTCTATTGTCATTTGTTTTTCCCAAACGTTGAAGCTTAGCTAAATAAATGAATACGATGCATTTTTATTTTTATACAAATAATGCTATTTTTATGTATAATTACATTTTTATAGAAACGTCAAACGGTACGATTCTTTTCAATTCGCGATACCTTATTGTCGTTTCCCTGGATACAACATTCGTCTATACGATCTCACTGTTACAATGTCCATATATCTAATCCCACGATAATTCTTCATTACTTGACAATTCAAATAAATAGAAATAATATTATATCGATTGGAAAACAGAAATTTTGTGCTTGTTACATTCGTACGAAATCTATTGTCCAATTATTCTACCTCATTCACAATTTATTATTTACTTTATAAACGGAGTCACGTTAGGTACTCAGTAACCTAGCTCCTAGGACTAAACTCTACTGCTGATGGTCTACAGGTCTAGAATGGGCCAGGATAGTCCAAGTGAGAGGCGAGATTGGTGTTTTTTTGGACCCTGGGGTTAAAAATATATGTCTTAAGATAAACGACCAGAAGCATTAAAAACTTCCACGTTGTTTGATTTTGATAGTTTGGGATAATGAATCGACTGACGTATTTTTATTACAAAGTTATTAATTAATTGCAATATATAATTGTCAGTCGATCAAAACACCCAAACCAAAAATCTAATTACAATACTGAATTACATTAACATCAAGTAGAGAAGTTTAAAATACATCTAAATTACTTTATTGACTAATAATTCAATAATGCTATATAATATTATGTATAAACATACCTAGCACGCCATCTATGAAATCAATACGACACTAATAAAATAAGGCAAACAGGTATTACGGAGGGATCAAATAATTATTATATTATTCCGAACATCAGGCACTCAAATTGAAATCATTTTCTTTAAAATAATACCGCTAAATCTGGCTTAGAGCATTTAGACTGGAGAGGACATTTATAATATGTAGCATTACTTGTTTATGGAATACTATATCAAAGCTAAACTGTTAGCCCTGTATTGTAAATGCACAAGCGGCGTAATGTGCACATGTATACGTATGTGTGCGTAATATTCTCTAATTAATGGCAGTTATGTTGGCAGTAAGTGTCTTCTCCAAATCACATGCCCTTGTTCTAAGCCATAATTTCTAAGGGATAACAAAAACTCTATGCGGGTTCGCTAACAACCGTACACTACCTCTCTAATAATTTCGAGGAACATACATTTTGTTTTGTTCATAATATTTTTCTTGGCAATCTATTTTTTGGATGGACTCGTAATTTTGTTCTTTCTCTGTTTCTCGAATTTCATAATTTTGAATTCTTCGAAAGTTATTTTTCATTTCGTTATTCATTATTTTATTCATTTATATTAATTTCAGCTATTTTCTACGATTCCTAATTCTTATGTTGTGGACAAATGGGTCATGGATATTCTTAAAATCAATAACGAACTTGATTGGGAGACATCTACGTATAACCATATTTATAATGATCCAGAACTCTATAAATCGGTAAGTTAACTATTTGGACCCATCTTCCCACAATATAAGAATCCTTCCTAACACTAAATGTTGATATTCACTCTCCAATTCATGTCCAATCGTTTGCCTTGCTTCCATAATCCCAGCATCTATGTAAAAGCTACGCTAAGCGATACGTACTAGCCCTGTGTTGTCAGCTGATGACTAAATCAATGACGTCACTCTACTTCTATCTCCTATCAACTCTCACGAGATAAACAAACAATAGCCTTAATTAATTCGTTACGCCAAATTTTGCAGCGATGGACCCAAATATTTTGTTGATATATCTTTATTATGCAGATTATTAGTGAATTATGAAAGTTAATATAAATGTGTGATATAGATGTAGGTACGATTTAGGTAGAAAAGTTACGATATATAGAGGTATATGAATTAAGAAATATTAAGCGTTATACATGCACACTTAAACTTTAAATTAATATATTGAACCTCGGATGCGCGATGCTCACTTCACATGCACGTGTATATGCACGCAGTTACTATTTTATGGCGCATGTGCTTGTGTCGTGTGCATTTAAGATAATTTAAAACCTAAATACGTCTTGTCTTCACGTCAAAGAAATATATTAACGAAATAACAATAATATATTGTGTAACATACATTCATTACTTTACATCAGTTACGTATAAAATATTAAACAGTTTGGCTAAGAATAATAATAAATATTACATTTGATTACATAAATATAACAATAAGTTACTTCGTAATGGAATGGGTTACACTTAGTGGAAGAGTATATAATGAGTTTGGTATTTAAATATGTTTTATACATTTAATTCCGATCACTATTATGTCTGATTCATCGAATAAATGTACAGCGGATAATCATTCTTACATCAAATGACTAGATTAAATATAATTATACGTATCACATAAATAATTTTACTTAAAATTAAAACATATAATAACTTACTTATACATAAATTGCAATTATATATAATATGCAATGCTTACGAAAAATTAATATAAACAACAGAATTTCTCTTACAAAATACGAATAGATTACTCAATATGATTTTAAAATGACGTATAATTATGTATGTAGTTATAAAATGACAATATAATCTAAATGGAGTACAAATATAATGTTAAGAGACACACTGGGATCACATTAATACGTCATAGGTACCTATATATATATATATATATGTATTCCCATATATATTCATTCGTAAGCTAATACTCATTAAGCCTCTAGAACCTACTTGAATAATACCATTGTTTAAATATCAATACGATATATTAAAATTCTTTTTTTCTTTCTCATTATTTTTTATTCAACGGAAAATCTAAAATTTTTCTCTGACGGGTGTTTATCAACGATCTTGTGATTGGCTAAATGTTATTATAATAACAGATATTTATTATGTTTTTATAATAACTATCGTGAGACATACTAAATTAAGTAAAAACGCGGGTTACTCACGTGAATATACTGAGAAAAGCTCTACTAGTTTCGAACCACAGAGGGGTTCTTCCTCATGAGCAGCGTGCGCGGTCGCGGCGACGTCGCGCAGCTCACTGGCTGGCGTCGGCGCTCGCCTCGGTATTGCCACCTGCGCTGCGAGCCCAACGCGCCCTCTGACGGACACATACGAGCGTTTGCTTCCAACTCCGGCGCGCGTTGGGACGATGTTAAAGCGCACGGTACGTTCACCAGCGGCGCGGGTCGTGGGTTCGATTCCGGGTTCGGCACAAAGTCAGTGTTGCATATAACGCTTACTGTGTCACACTCCAGACTGGAGACGCTGTGGATCGACGAAGACTCCAAACTCGGCTTCCACGCGGGCGGCAGTGCCCAGCCACCACCCCTGTTGAAGCACGTGAGCTGCGCGACGTCGCCGCGACCGCGCACGCTGCTCATGAGGAAGAACCCCTCTGTGGTTCGAAACTAGTAGAGCTTTTCTCAGTATATTCACGTGAGTAACCCGCGTTTTTACTTAAGATATTTATTAGTTAGTAATGTTAAATATTGGAAGTTAAATATCGCAGCAATAATATCTTATTATTTCTTTTATATGAAACGGTTTTATATTGTAGTTTTATAGCATAAAATTTCTTAATTAAAAAAACACCGCCATCTAGGTCGTCACACGAACAACACCCGTCAAACACTCAAAACATTAGACGTTTAATTTTCACTACGATTTATTTAAATTCAGTCCTCCAACAATTTATATTTGTTTACAAAATTCATTTAATTTTATTCATTTAACATTTTATTTATCGCCGATCCGTCAACTTCCCGATACGTGTTAATTATTTTACCCATTTTTCTGAATAGCACAGCAAGACAAGTTTCATTTTATTATTTCAGTAAAGTCAGAAGCTCTAAAAGTATTAGAAGACTGATTCATTCCATATTTAGAATAATGAAACCAAATACATAAATTGGTTTTATTATTCTATTATTAACATTAAATTACCTATATCCCAATAGATGGCGTTGTCATTTAATATTAAGCGCCATCTATTGGAGAATCTATAGAATTACAGTGATGGGATTTTCGCTACAGGGGTGCTATGGGGGTAGGTAAGACATACACATTTGATGACATAGTCTGAATTAGAATTTTGTGTGAACATTTAAAACACGATCTAATTAAATATATTCCTAAATCAATGTTACAAAGTCTACTTTAGAATAAACTCAGTACCTGGGAACAAACAAAAATAACCTACAACTAAAGATTAATATCGATTGAATGAATTTTTGATCACACAAGATTCCAACACAGTTTAGTTCACGTAGTAACTGTCACCAAGTTTAAGTGTAGGTGGCAGCACAGTCGAAAAACGGGAAGCAGGCGACGGACTCGGCGGCTGAGTGCTAGAGGACGTGCAGGTTCTCGCACGACTTGGACTTTGAGTCCCGAGCCCAAACGCGGCCCAGCAGACCACGGACCTGGGAAATTTAAAACATAGTAGTAACTTATATTTCTTCAATTTAATTAGTTATCTCTTTATATATCGTATGGAATGGAAGGAGGATAGGTAGACCTTTGCCCTGGAATGAGGTGATCATGGCTGAAAATGAAATAAAAATTAATAATGTCATATAATATCATAATAAAACTACCATTTTATTGCTCACTAGATGGAGCTAGTGTGAATATCTTTTGTCCAATAGAGCATTAGCTAGTGTCTCACTATTGGTCAACCAGTTTTTGAAAGCTACAGGGATTGGGCAACGATCCCGTTGCTACATTTACGACATCTGGTGAGCAAAGAAACGTTAGCCCCAATTGTCTCCATCTCTATGCTTTCTGCCTACAACATGTATCAGAGATAAATCGTCAGTATTCTCTGATAAACCTGAACCTAAAACTACAATTTCCAATCCTCCTGCCTAGTTTGGGGATTATGGCAATATCATCTTATCTAAAGGAAGTCAAGCTGTATCTTTGACTGACTATTTAACTTAGAGGTCCATGTTGATAATGTAATAAAACAAAAATACTGCTAACATTGAGGTCTCTTGCCAAACAACTGATGGATCAACCCTTTCATCCACTGACATCATAAATCAACATTAAATAATTAATTAGGAAACAGTTTTATAACGACATTCTAATATTTTTATTAGAAATTTTCAATTCATTATTTGTTTACAGTATTACAACCGGTAAACAACACGGGTGTTATAATTTATTTCCTTCATAAATAAGTAGGAAGTGCACACCGGTTCACTGGTCGATGTTGCACCATATCCTTATATACTAAGTAATTAAGTAACTACATTAAATAATTTTCAACTCTCTCGAAAAACAGTGCAAGGACTGTGAAAATCACAATTATAAATAAATCATTAGGTTCAAACAAATTGATCGTGAAAACCGATATTTAACGAACGAGTATCTGCAATTTTAGAGAGCATATTGTGAAGTGTAAAAACGAAAATATTATTAGATAAAATATCAAAAAGAAATGAAGCTAAATGTACCTTGACACTGGCAGATAGCCTGGTGCGCTTGCGCGGCGTGCTGTTAGCGGAGGCGGAGGGAGGCGCGGCAACCGGCGCGGGAGTCTCCGTCTCCAGTGGGGAGCGCGCTCGCGCACGGTTCTTGCGCGAGTTGCTGCGCTTTCTGAAACATGGGAATATCGAAAGATCAAATGCCATTATCCGTAACTCCAACGCCCAAATCTTCAATCCTCAAATTCCTATCTGCCAAGAGGCCTGCAACGCATTTATAGCAGTCTGGTGTCAAGTGAGCGGTGTGTTCGTGTATCACCATTTCATTCCATAAAAATGGTTATATTATTTCCTTGAATAGTTTAAGGACTGTAGTTTCACTTTTCTTTGAATTACTTAGTATCTGTTGTCAAGTATCGTACCTGACCCTCTCAGCATGCTGCTGCTTGAGCCGGATCTGTGTGAGCAGCCCCACCAGCAGCTCGTCCACGTTGTGGTTGATGCCCACCGACGTCTCTATGAACTTGCACTCGTATGACGTCGCCAGGTTCTTGCCCTCTGTCAAACAAATATATAATATTTTTTAAATAAATTAAAAGTTACAAATAAATACTATTACAAGTGAAATTACAATCATCGTGTTATGATCGTTATGTAGTTGTTATTGCAGTTTTTACCAACTACACCTAAACCATCTCTTAACTAAGAGTCACTTACCACGACAGGGCACCTAAACTAACCCTTTACTTTTACTATTAGGTGCCACTTCTAGATAGGTTAAAACGAAAATGTAGTTAAGTGCCACACAGTAGCTTAGGGGTTCCTTATTTAAGAAAGGTTGGTGAAAATGGGCGTAATAATACATACATAACATAACATCACGCCTTTCATCCCCGAAAGGGTAGGCAGAGGTGCACGTTACGGCACTTAATGCCACTGTACAATTTAACACCCAATTTTCACTATTTATGTTATGAGTCTCATGTAATACGGCTATTCCGGACTATTCGGCTATTCAGTAGCACGGAGTCTGAAATTGTGCCCGGTATATGGCAATAGGCTCACCCCCTATTATATGGGACTCGTACATAACAAAAATAGTGAAAAGTGGGTATTACATTGTAAAATGGCATTAAGTACCGTAATGTTCACCTCTGCCCACCCTTTCGAGGATATAAAGGTGTGATGTTATGTTGTGTAAAGTGTAGTGTTTACATAATAATATTTGTAGGTACATAGTATTACCTATCCATTAACTAACACGTTCCTAACATCTATGAGCTGAGAGACGTTCAAAGGTTTCAATATTCATACCTTTTGAGTACTACCTGAGGAATTCCGAGTAATACTGAGTATTTGAGTGATACTGGGAATATTCGAGAACTCGGTAATTAGCTTTTGAGTGTGATTTGACTTGACGTTTGTGTGCAGTCGGCCGGGTGATGTGGCTCAAAGGGATATTAGATGGTACGGCTGAGTGATCGGGATCAGGAGTTATTGCCTCATAGTGGAAGGGAATGAGGTTGGGAGGTGGAACTCATTAACAATATTGAGTTTTAGTGACGGATCATACTGTCATAATTAGACTTTAGGTTCATCTAGGATTCTAATTAGGTGCTTTGTTAAACTGTCAAACACCAAGCGGTCACCGGTGACCGCGACCTATTGTTCTTTAATTGTGTCTATAAAACCGGTACTCGACGAGTTAATATTCAGCAGCTGAAATTAAAGACCTATCTCAATTCAAAATCTAAGGATAGCGATCGATTTTTGACTATACTTATGTATGGGATAAGCCGGTAAACGAACAGATGGATCACCTGATCGTAAGCAATCGGCGCCGCCCATGGACACCTGCAACACCACAGGCGTTACAAGTGCGTTACCGGCCTTTTGGGGATTAGGAATTTGAGGATTGTTGGGGATTAAGTGATTGGGAAGGGGGGTGGGGTAATTGGGCCTCCTGTTGAGATTGGGTTGGCACGGTTATTTAAATGGAGGTTCTGTTAAAAATGGATCCTAATCCACATTTAATTTTGACCGTAAGACCGACTTAAACGGTAAACACAATTTTTTATTAGTTAGTATTTAAATCGATATCATGGCTGCCATGTCTGTTTTGAACTGGTTAACATTCTGTGCAGCGATTACGATTTCAGGTAGCTTGTTCCATGCTCTGACCACGCGGTTACTTACGAAGTGTCTATGAGGGTTGGTTTTCGATAACCTTGTACATACATAGCTTAAGGTGGTGGCCTCTAAGATGAACATTTTCATTACGTTAGAATAGTTTGTCGAAATATCTAAAATCATAATATTCACTTTATTTTGTATGTCTCAATTAGATCTTCACGCTGTCTGAGATCCTTCAAAGTGTTATTTAATGTAATTTTGACAAATTAAGTTATTTTTTAAGGAAATTAAAAATCATGCACCTGTGCACGGTTGGTGTGGTGGGTAACCGGCTGCCGCGCAACTTGTCGCCGGTTCGAAGGTTCGATTCCCGTACGGAGCAAGTCTTAGTGTGATCGATAAATTGCTGTTGTCATGTGTATGTGAACTTGTATGTTTGTAAACGCACCTACGACTCAGGAGACAATCCTAGTGTAGGGCAACGTTTTTTTTAAAAGAAAAAAGGTCTCATGACTCTCGGGATTTTGCAGCATTTATGTACAGATCAAAATAATATTATCATTTCCTGTGCTCTGTCGAAGAGTCAATGACACCCGTACATAAATGGGTCTAATAAAGATTTCTCACTGAGACAAGAAAGACAATTGACAGTTTGATTAAAGAACTTCACAAACCTGAAGCCTATCACAGTATCGCCACAATCTATAACTTTTGTCTTAGAAAATTATTTCCTCGTTAAATAGCCTCTAAAACTGGAATTGACAAATGAATTTACTTTGAGCGCCTGTCAAAATTGTAAAAGCAATTAAAATGTAAACGTAGTACCCACTCTTACTCATCCAACTTTATTTTATTGACATATTATCGTTATTGAAGTGGTTTTAATATTTATGTCAGAACTAACTTCTGACTGTGGTTTTGTCCGTGTTCCCGTTGGATGAAATTTACACATAAAATATCACATTCAAGATAACAATGGATCATGAAACATGGAAATTAATAAGTTGCTATGCAAAAACTGAAGCTTAACATTTATTACAAGCGCCTGTGAAATTATTGTTAGCAAAATGTGGCGAGTGGCTGTTAACAGCGCCGTCTGTCGTGGCTAATTGGTATGTACACAGAACATCGCTAGAAATTTAATTAAAAACGTTAAATTTGTGCTCTCGACACATAATTGGGGAGATCTGGCTTTAATCATGAGTTTGTTTCGGTCATTTCACAAAAATGTAATGGTTTGAACAGCTCCAGGGGACTTGTAATTGCCTCGTTAATAAGATAGCTCGGTTCAATGTTTGCGTTTAAAATTATATGAATGTACACATGTGATCTATTCGTTCATTTATATTTTGACAGATCATTATAAAAGCCAGCTTATTGAAACCTCCATACGAGGCTAATGAGATCAATTTATTCACGATCTTACGAATACTGGAAATCCTCTTATTTACATTAGCTAGGGACTTAATAAATAGGAACAGACGCTAGTTCACCAATCAACTCGAACCTGTCTTTCTAAAATGGATTTTCGACTTTATCACAATACCCTTAAACTGAAAGTTTTTCGACAGATTGGATTAGATCGTCTATCAACACATGGTTAAGTTACAGCTGAAACTATGAACAGCATAATATCTTACCGTCAGTGGGAACAGCTCTCGACCTGGCCAGATCAGCCTTGTTCCCGACGAGGATCACAGCTCTCCGCGAGGTGTGACCAGCTGCCCATAGAATTTGCAGTCTCCTCTCCGCTTCCATGAAGCTGCTTCTGTCAGCTGTCGAGTAGACTACGCAGTACCCGTGGGCACAGCCTTCCGTCTGGAAGATAATGAAGAAAGTGGATGTACTATGATGCCTCGTGTATCGACTACTACCACTAATAAGTTTTCAATTGTGCGCTGATTGCACAGAGTTCGGAATTGTCCCCTGTGTATGGTAATATGGTTGCTCCCATTGTAACCCTTAACCGAAAAGTTGGTGTATCATTTATTTTTTGCACAGACTAATAAGTCAACGATTTCTAAAAGACTTACAATTATATGGTCAGGCGGTGCGTCTAGGAACGTGATCTCCGACTCCTCGCCTGCCAGTAGCACGCATACTGATCTTTCTCCAGACTCGTCATCTGTAACAGTAAGGTGGTCCGTGAGCTCGTGCAGACAATGTGGATTATAGGGGAAAAGGTATTATCATCATCTTGGGTATTATTTTGGAATCAATGCGTAGGCTCTTCGTATACCGGCCTGGCACATCAATGAGGATGAACCAAGAACACGCTTCAAACTTTCTTTTTCTTTATAGGCGGATTGACAAGGCTTTTCCTCCCATGGAGATTAATTATAGCCCCATACGATAAAGAGCAATCCCTGGATGCTCGCATGTGAAACTCACCGATACTGGTATCATACGCGTGCAGGTACTCTGAGGTCATGAACTGCCCCACCAGGCTGGACTTGCCGACTCCAGGCGCACCCAGCACCAGCACACGGTATGAGCTGAGCCCGGCTGACGAGTCCCTGGACAGCACACAATTACTAGATATTCAAAGTCAAAGGATTTTATACTTCAGTAGTTAGACTAATTCTGGTACTTTGAAAACATAGAAATGATTTTATTATTGGTCTGTCTATTAATGAAATTAATGTATTTTTGTTGGACATGAACAAAAAACTATGTAGCACAACGTGCCACTTTTCATACCTTGATGAGGCCAGCGAGCAGGGTGCAGATGCCCTGGTGACAGCTTCGGTGCTGGACGCACTGGACGCCACCGAGGTGTTGGAGCGAGAGCGGCGCGACCGCAGTGAGTCACCGCGGTTCACCACACCCTTACCTGTCGGAGAAGTTGAGATAGAGCATCACATTGTGATGTGATATGAGCCAAAAAAGAGGTTACATAGAACTAAAACTGCAAACCAGTATAAATAAAGACAGAATAACCTACGTGATGTCTAAAACCCAATTTAACATCAATAATACAGTGTAAAGTGATACTTTATACGCACTCGAAGAATATTCCCTGACAGGTATCTTCAAAGCTTTGTAAATATAATGGTATTCAATCAGCGAAGTGATTGCCTCACGTTACACTTTCGATGCTTGACGTAATCACTTTACACATAATTTGTGTCAAACTCTCAGATGTCAGTGTACGTGTGTACCGACACTGTTTGACACTGATAAACACTTGTACTGGAATGGACTCCTTGGAGATTTCTTGAGTTGTGATGTATTGTTGAGATGAAATCTTGTCAGTGAGTGTCATGATTTTTAGCTTTTGTTTATTGTGGTCTCGAGTGCGACTTCAGTTCGTTTTAATGCATTGGTTTCTGTGTAATACATGGGGTTACTTTTGTTATAATTTTTACGAAACTTGTAGTTATTTTTATTTATTATGAGATACGGAAGTAGGTATATCGTAAGTGTTTTGTCGAAAAAAGTGGTTTAGGATGATAACTAATTAGACTGAATAAAAAGATGAGCCACACTTGGGAGCAAAGAAACGGAAGCATTATAATTATCGTGTGTTTTTCTTTTTCATGTCAAGATCATTTTTTTACTGATACCAGTATTTTATTAATTGGTAACGTATGTTACAGAAGGCAATTTAGTTACCAGGTAAAATGAGACTATTTTGTAGTAAAAGGAATATTTTTTTTAAAGCTATAGACTATGGAGGGTTGTATCGATAAAATGAATAAAAAAATAGCAGTGGCTCTGTTGCTTAGCTCCCAAATGTATAACCAAAATGTACACAACATTGAACCCAAGATAAAAGACACAGGCAGTGTTAGTAAAGATTTGTAACAATTTATTATTAACATTACCACGGCGTACACGGTCGATTAACTCGCAAGCGTTCGCCATGTTAATTGAAAAGAGCAGCAAATGATAGTCGTTACGTTCATAGCCAGGCAATGAGGGGAGGGTAGTGAGTTCCTCCCCAAGCCATGGGATACAAACTAATAGCCGGCTTTAAAAATATACTGTTATGTTTAGAGTATTCCCATTTCAAAATTAATTAAAATGCGCTGTATTTTTTAATTAATGAAAAATAACGATGAAATCAAAAGTCTTCTGCCCGGCTAAGCAGGCAACAGTTTTAGTGTGCTAGATTACGAGTTTTACAAAAAAACCAAATGTTTTTCTTTTATAGGATAAGCCGGTAAATTAACGGATGAATCACCTGATGGTAAGCAATCGGCGTCGACCATGGACACACGAAAAATTAAAGGCGTTACAAGAGCGTTGCGGGCGTTTTGAGGATTAGGAATTGGAGGGGGTAATTGAACCTCCGGTAACCTCACTCACACGACGAAAACCAACGCAAGCGTTGTTTCTGTGAGGTCGTGGTATAACTTCGTGGAACCGGCCCATTTGTAAGGAAGCATGGCTCTCCCACCACTAACATAAGAGATCATAGGATCCCACTAAAATTTAATACCTATCACACACAAAAAATATAATAATAGGTACCTAATTGACCTAAAAATCAACACCACGTTCCAAAACTCTCATTGCCACAACTAAATAAAACAAATCTCAGTGTAACAACATTTGATTAATTCTATTTGTACAGCCCCCGAGCTACTACAAACCTATTTAGAATTTAAACTAAATAAATTTTGAAGAACATTGAAGTACAAATCCCAAGTGAACGAGATTCCCTTTGTAACCGCACGAAAACTGGCTCGAATTTACTATTCGCTTTAGTCTAGATTAATCTGGCTTAGACTAGACTTTAGTACTAGTGTTAGCTTAGGACTTAGGTCTAAGACCGTTGTGATGTGACATTGATATTGCATTTACTTTGTGTTCGGCTGGGGGCTGTGTATCAATGGGAATCATTAGGAACCCTTTGATGTTCTGTATCTAGGAGTTATATATATAGATACGTTAGTTCATCTAATAAATGACCTTTAGTTAGTATATTTCATTTTCAATTTTATCGTCATTATCATTAAAACTGCCTCGTTAGCCGAGTGGTCGCAAGTGCGACTGCCGGGCAAGGGGTCTCGGTCTCGGGTTTGATTCCCGGGTCGGGCAAAGTATTACTGGGTTTTTATAAATTCTTAGTAGTAGCATGGAGTCTGGAATTGTGTCCGGTACATGGCAATAGGCTCACCGCCTATTATATGGGACTCATAACATAAATAGTGAAAAGTGGGTGTTACATTGTACAGTGGCATAATGCGCACCTCTGCCTACTCTTTCGGGGATGAAAGGCGTGATGTTATGTGTGTTAAGTAATTTGTATGCTTTTTAACGAGAGCCAAATCACTAACTAGTCAGTTCAATAACCACAGAATCAGTACTGGTTCAAGCTTAATATTCTTGCCAGCATACTGAATCGTTTGGCTGTCTGTAGCTATGCAAATCGTTTGTGCTCACTTCGACTTAGATTGGTAACTTGGTAGATTGGCTGAGTAATCGGTTTACTATTTACTTTAGTGGAGGTAAATGGCGTATGATCTGCGCAATGTAATGTAGGGAGGTAGCGGGAGGGAGATAGATTACTCGTGTGTTTCATGTTTAGTTGGGGATTGCATTCAGTTGATTGAGATCAGCTTATGGGTGGTAGGTAGTATAATGTAAATGCTTCTTTGTAGATATATCGGTAAGTCGATTGATCTCAATGTTAAGACATAGCAGTGTAGTCATATTTGATCAATTCATGAGACGTTTTATACATACGTACATTTTCGTGTTGATCAAACAAGAAAATTAGTTTTTCTTTCGATCTGACATTTGTGTAGTAATACAAGAATATCGTAAATGGAAATAGTATGTGGTTTTATTGAATCATTGAAGTTTTATAAGCCACCTTAAGCAATGCTCATGTCTTCTTCGTATGAGAAAAAGCTGATAATGATGATGATATTTTTTTTTACAAAACATTGCCCTTTGCTCCACATTAGGATTTGTGTCCTGTGACGTGGGTGCGTGTACAAACATACAAGTTCACGTAGGTACACAATGACACCCAGACCCGAAACAACAATTTGTGGATCACACAGTGTTGTTCCGTGCTTGAATCGAACCCGCGACATGTTGCACGGCAGCCGGTTTCTCAGCCACCGCACCATCCGAGCAATCAAAATAACGATAGATAGATAATGATAATGTAAGATTTCTTTTTCTAATAGGCTTTTAGTCTTACTAAATTAAGCAGTTAGCTGGGTGCCACACATGACAACCCCACACTCCCAAATTTTGCTCCTCAAAAGATATATGCCTTCTGAACCATTCGTCATCACAAAAAAAATGTGTAACATACCAGTGATGCTGAAATGCCTCAGCCGGTAGTACTCCTCCTCGACGCCAGTATTTGGCATGGAGGCGACGCGCGCCCTCTGCTGGGGCAGGCCCAGCAACTGTCGCTCGCCAGTGCGGGAGCGCCCCGCCTTCACTGACTGCGACCTCGAGTGGTGTGGACTGCCGTACCTGTGGGCAATACAAATACTCCTTGGTTAGTAAAAAGAAGAGAGATGTGGAACATTAGGAAAAATACTAAAAAGACAGCGATTTTGTTAAACGCTCTACATTGCCCAGCTGTCCGGACATTGATCGTGCCTGCCTGATCATGCCTTTCTGTCGTGAATTTCTTATTGGACAGTGTCTAGACTTCCAGCTAAGGAATGGTTATGAGTAATAAAACTTTTTATATCCAGAGATTTAACAGATTTTCACACTGATTGATCAGTCACTTTACAATACGGTCAGCGTAGTCTGAAAAAAAAAACAAATGGAGACAGAAGAAGTACATATATATAAAGTAATAACAAAATGTTCAAAAACTACTTCCTATAACAACTTCCTAGCGATGCAAGGTCTATTTATCTGACATTTTAACAATCCATTATATGAATTAACTACAAATCGCAGGTTACTTACGTGAATATACTGAGAAAAGCTCTACTTGTTTCAAACCACAGAGGGGCTGTTCCTCAGGAGCAGCGTGCGCGGTCGCGGCGATGTCCACATCCCAGTAGAGTTTTTCTCAGTATATTCACGTGAGTGACCCGCGATTTTTATTTAATTTAGTATGTCTTACGATAGTTATTATAATAGTATTTTTTTAAGGGGGATAGTCATCGAATAACTTCTCCCGCCTGGGTGAGGGAGTGTCGAACACTTACTGACTAAAAACCACCCTGTTCCTTCTCCTGCATTTCGAGCTGGAGCCCCGGTTACCCTTTAGCTTCTTCGCGACATTATAATAGTATGGAGTACAATTTATGAAAAAATGAACCATCAAACAACAAGTCCTATGAACTAGATCGTTAGTAAAGTTTCACAGAGTGCTACCTATCACAGTGAATGTGTTGACCTGCCCGAACGGATCGCAAGTAATTCACTTAGTTAATGACTGCTCGCAGTACAATTAATAACGGCGAGAAAAAATACTTTCTGGAAGAGTGATTTATTGAGGTAGGAAGGAATTTAACCTAACATAGGGTCTTGTATTTCTCGACACAAGGCCTTACGGGTTTCAGGAGTTACCTGTATATAATTTCGACTCCACGATTGGCGCAGTGAATGGTCTACTAGCACTCTTTGTGTCATAAAATTGGGTACATACCAACTAGTCAAATTCAATACTTTTTTCGAACTGTCAAAACAACAGTTTTTTATGAATTTTGTACGAGATTGTGTATTGTGACGTCACGTTTTAACAAGACGCGTCAAGCATTTTACTAATTTCATAAAAATTTGCTGGAAAAATACTAAAATTAAAAAACCGGTCATAAAATCAATTTATGAAAGTGTGAAGTTTTTTAAATGTTTTATTCTATTGAACAGTCGAAATAATTAATTGTTGTATCGAGTCTTACGCATCTACGACACGGGAAAAATCCTAGTGTGAGACAACGTTCTACTGAAAAAACAAACTTCTCTAAAAGAGAAAGTACTATGGTCCCCTGTCCCAGGTGTACCGGTAGTCGACCAAAATCAAAAAGTCAAAATGTAACATGAAAAGGAACGTTAGATTGATTGGTTCGCATTCAGTTTAAATGTTTACAAAAATAACAAACACAATGTACGCCACATCGATCAAATTCCTATACACACACGGTTGCACAAAACCAGTTTATTACGGTCCCGCTTTGTATAATCTTTCTTCACGTTAAACGGTCAGTTAACACTGGTTATGTATAGCTAGACGCGTAGTAACTACATAGGTTCGCTTTAATTCGCCGTCAAAGATTAACTCTTGTTCAATAATCTGTTGATACTGCTTACACCCTATACATACGTTTAATATTTGTCACATTACAGGTAAATTATAAAAGTGCAATGTACATTATTTAGTGATCTATGAAGCGGGACATAATGAGGTTTCGATGATAAATTACGCAACTGAAGACGTCGTAAGTTTGCGCGCGATTTAACAATGATAAAAATTGCTTGGTAACACTACAGCCATTAGGCAGTAACTCGCCAGGAATGACGTGTCTCCTGGTTGGAGTATTCTACCTTTTCTTTAAATATAAATCTGATTCTAAATACTAGTAGGTCCAATATAGATTTAAATAACAAGAATAACGAAAGAATGGAGATTTTCAAGAAAGGCTTTTCTCGGAAGGCATAATAAGGAATGGTTAATTCTACAGATACAGTGGTAACTGCTCGTCAACTTAAGTATTCCACAGCAGTTAAAGACAGTACTTTTGTTAATATGTGTTTGTAGTATAACACAGGGGTTCCCAATCTTTTGTAACCCGCAGCGCAGTTACAAGTTGAATATTTTTCACGGCGCCCTCTCCTAGCTAACTATTTGAGGAAAACAGTCAAGAGAAATAGGTACCTACAAAAAAGCAGTTAGGTTAGGTCGATCATAACGAAAATTGAAACACCACAATATCAAATTATAATAAAAAGTCGGAAAATAAGACCGACTTGAAAGAAAAAACAAAATTATTAAATATGATATTTACTCAGTCAAATCAATGTAAAGGGTGAGCTTAGTGCGTTAGTCCGCACAGTTTTTTTAAGCGAGGAAAAAGACTAGACATTGCTGCTCTCATTTCTTGATTGATCAAAAAAGTACTCGCCAATATGTAGTGTCCAATAATTTAATAATCTACTTACGGCGCCACTCTTCACTTTCTACGGCGCACTAGGGCGCCGCGTCACACACTTTGGGAACCCCTGGTATACCAATTATTAGTAGATAAATAACAGTATGACAGTTAATTAAGTTAATAGTATGTTAGCTAATAATACAGTAAAATAGGTTCTAAATAGGGCAAACAAAACGTTTTTGTAATTTAAACGAACATCAATTTCTACCCAATTCTCCAAACTAAACCATTGTTGTCTGTTGTCACGCTTACAATTAACTTTGAATACACTCGGTTGCCATTTGAGAAGAAAAAAAGTAATATCTACAGTGTAAAATGTATATTTTTTCATAGAGACTTTAGTCAGTTTTTTTTAAGGGGGGATAATCATCGAATCACTGCTCCCGCTTAGGTGAGGCGGGAGGGAGTGTCAGACTCTTACTGACTAAAAACCAACGTTCCTTCTCCTGCACGTCGAGACGGAGCCCCGGTTACCCGTTAGGTTCTTTGTCAGTATAGCTTAACCTTTTGAATGCACCGATATGAGACAATAGAAAATATAGTGTGTCTCGCGTGGATCCACGTCTCAGACAAATGACAGATTCAATAATCTTACCGTTGTGTAAAAAACATGCCTTACACTACGATTTTCTCCTGTTTCGTGGATAAACAAACTTGATTTTGATTTGATTTGATTTAAAATTTCACATACACATGACACCTAGACCCGGAACAACAATCTGTGGATCACACAAAGAATTGTTCCGTGCGGGAATCGAACTCCCGCCACCGTGCCGACCGTGGAATCTAAACATAATTATGAAGAGTTGATTGAGCTCAGAACCACTAGACATTGGCGTGTCTGGCAGTGGATGGAAAATCTGATGACGATGATAGATCTCAAGCACTATGTACAGTAAACCTTCTGCAGTTGAGATAATTTTTGTATTTTATTTTCATAAGAGGATTATGTATTGTACACAACTCAGCCACTTTCGTGTACACGTTTAATCCTTTATTGTTTTCGAAAAAGGATTAATATTGTGTGTTAATTGGATACCTTTCTGAACACAAATTATTAACACTGGATGAATGGTTTTGGAATTTTATCTACGTATGGTCGTGGTGGCCCGGAGGGTTATTACCCGCCCGCTTCTTATGCATGGGAGTGCGGGTTCAGCAGCAGTGGGCATTAAGCTGTTGACGATTATTATTATTCTACGGATATTACCATAAACATATCCCGATTTGTAATAAATCTGATGGGTTCATTATTGGAAAATATAATTATCAGTCCATTGTATACCTGAAATATTCGACATGAAAACAATCCCGTGGCAGTTCCGCACGTAAAATCAAAGAAAATGTTAAATTCAGTCTTTAGTAGTAAGCTACCAATTAATTAGATATTTGTAATTATAAAAATAATTCCCCGACTAAGCTTTCGAAGCTTAAACATCTCAAATTTTGTATTCGAAGAGAATTTAGAGACAGACACGGACCATAAATTGACGGACAGTTTTAGGAAATAATTTTGAATTTTATTTACTTAAGACTTCGGCACGCATGGGCCGGCTCGACCGCAGTGATACCAATACCTTACATAAGACCGACGTAAAACAACGCTTGCGTGGTGTTTCGTCGTGTGAATGAGGTTACCGGAGGCCCAATTACCCCTCCCCCTTATCCTAATTCCTGAGTCCCCAACAATCATCAAATTCCTAATCACTAAAGGCCAGTAAAGCATTTGTAACGCTTCTGGTGTTCCAGGTGTCCATGGGCGACGCCGATTGCTTACCATCAGGTGATCCGTCTCCTCGTTTCCGATATATCCCATAAAAAAAATTAACAAGCTTTCTTCAGTTCCAAATATGGAGTATATAAGATAACATTTTTTAAATTGTTTACTAAAATTTTAGTCAGATACGTTGCACTTCTGGTTTATACTTGACCAATAAGATCGAAGTTTCGAAGCTCATATACTTTTACAACTTATGTTGCAATAGACCGAAATTCTCTTTGTCATTTAACTCCAAGGGTTAAACCATGGCTTAAACATAATGTAAACCCCATGCCATGACCTGGTACCCTATAACTTGGCATCAAGTAGTGGGCGCGGGAACTATCAGCTGCGTGTACCGGAATGTTGCCGCAAAGTTTTGGGTTCGAATACAAACAGTTCCACAAATGTTGTAGACTGGAAGTTATTGGTTTGAAACCGTGTTAGGACGAAGGTTGGTATGTATATTGATGACGTCATTTTCAGATTAAATCTGGTAGATAAGATGTTACGGTTTTCACACTAAAAATCTCATAATCAGAACTCCCAAAAACCAAACAGTGATAATCAAAACTGTAGTTGCCTTATTTCCACAATTC